TACATTTGATGTGTGAAGGAGTGCATACCAAAAGTATGTTGCAGTAAAAATATCTTTAAGCACACTGTTTCTCAAGGTGGCGATATTATGGACCCTGGTGATATCATGGACACAGATGTTAGGTCTTGAGACCTTTAAAATGACTAGTCTTTGGGCTCCCTGAGTCCCTGGGTTCACTTTATTAATATCATAATTCCACATCAGATTTTATGCATTTTGTCGCTAACACAATGTTGAACATTGCAACCTGTTACACATTATCTCTTGGGGTTAATTATATTGATCCACATTCAATTGTGCAGGACCAATCTCCAGCTCAGAAGATGAACAAAAATTAAGCGTGGATAAACCCATTTTGATTTCCTGTACATAGACACCTGTCATAGGCTTACTTGTTAAAGATAAGCAGTGAAGCACTTTCTCCCACCAGGTCAACATATTCATGCTGCCTATATAGGTTACATGTATATAGTATCCACTTGCAAATTAGATATCTAGAGCCAAAATCTAATAAGCTGGCCATGTTTTTAGATGAGACACAGAAATAGTTTCAAAGGATATACTGTACCAGAGGTAATACCTGTACCAATACTATAGCATAGGCAATACTTAACTGTTACTGCATGTGTTAGTGGTACGAACTTTATTAAGGAACTGTACCATCCTGTCTTTTTTGCAGCTAAGTGACCTTTTGAGACAGATTGACAGAATATAGACTATAGTGTGATAATCAATGCTGTGCTTGTCTTTAATGTGTGAAAACACTTCTGTTTACATCGATGTCTATCTACAACTTGCTTGTACAACTGGTTCGAGTAATTAGTTTTACCTATTAGGATATTTGATCCGCCTGCCATTGAGTTGAGCATATTTGTATACAGGTGTAGACAATGGCTACCGGACATGCACCAAAATGAAGGCAACGTCTATGTGTCGACTTCAGGGTACTACAATTAACGTTGTTAATCTTAATAGCTCACAATCTTATTACAGCGGCTATTCTTGGGGACTTACAAATGGTATTTTTAGCAATCATTGTGAATTGAAAATGAAGAAGTAAAATGTTTATCTGCTGAGTTGAAATCTAGACTTATTGCTGGATATAGTATTGCATTATGTCTATTTCTACCCTATAGAATTATAGCATACTACTACTATTTCTAATTAACCTACTTACCAATGATAGTTTTATTTCCTGTGCAAGTTGGAGTGTATAATTCAGTGTCTCACAAGCTGTTTTTAGTTTCACAAGGGGTGCTTCCATACTTGACAGGTGTTATGATTTCAAATAAGCTACATGCACTGAGTCTCATATACATTTTGTATTGCTTGTACATTGAAAATTTCTATTTCTTTACAAGTGCATACGAAAGACTAGAGAATTGGGTGCCCCAAAGCACTGTGTCTTTACACCAAGGGTATGTTATTGTTAATTCTTAAACAAACATTGTTGAACTTTATCTGGTTCTGCTTGTGGTGAGTGATATAACCGAAGATGACCCAAAAGTAAATTTTGCAACCTTGTCATCCTGTGCACCTGTTTCTTAAGAACACATCTGTAGCACAAGAAAACACAGAACTGTAGGTGCTGAGTCAAGGGGCAGCCTAAAAAGCATTCCTCCTTACAAAAACAACACACAGGCACAAGTACTTGACAACATGTTTGTCCCAGCCATGAGGTAACCCATGTGTAGTGTATCAAATGGGAGTCTGTGTGTGCATGAAATTTAAGGGGTGTTAAGCTGGTTGGGTTGACGTGGACATAATTCTTATTACCTTCCTCTAAATCAGTCGACATAAACAACTAGTGAGTTTGTATTACGACTTTGCTGGTGGCCTACGGCAGGGTGAATGTTGGAGATCGAAGTATTTTAAGATATGCAAGAACATGTCTACCTGTAATTCAAATCTGGTTCTGTCCTTGTTTAAACTTTGTTTTTGTTATACCGGGTCTTGACAGCATAGCTCAGTTCTTGTTGTTCTTGTAGCTGTAGTAGCTTCTATCCCCCCACCCCCACAACTGCCCCAGGCACATCCAAATATTACAATGTAGGGGGCATGACGGGGAAATGGCAATTGCTATATTGCAGACACTTTGGCTGTACATAGTAGCTATACAGTTTTACCTGGAACGTTTACTAGTACTGACAGTCTGACTGCATCACACAAAACTTTCAGGATTTGGGGGAGAATATCTTACCTGTCGCTGTCAAACAGTAATCAACCCATCACACATCCAGCAGTTCTAACATGATTTAGGACGTGGCAGGCAACTAGTGACAGTGGGGTACAGGTAAGGGAAACACGGAAACACTACCAGACATAACACCAGCAGCATACAGTGGTGTAGTGTTTAGCTTCTGAAGTTCTGAATTACTCTAGGTCATACATTGTACCAGGTATGAAATAATCTCCAAGCAGATCTTTGGGTGGCGGTAATACTGAAATCAAATTGGCAAGACAGTATCAAACTGGCCAGGCAGTATCCAATTCGTGGCCAATGGTTACAGCCCTACAGGCGGCCAATATAGACTCCTCTTGCCCCAGAGAATCTGCTTGGAGATCAGGTATGAAATCCAGCTGCTCTGGACATCTGGACAGGAATTTCGTTGGTTTTGTCAAGGACTGTCTTCCTTTAGAGGGATCTATAGTGCAGGTTGTCCTCCTATAACTTCAGCTATTAAGATGACAGTATAAAAGCCTTCCTGTGCTTTAGAGACCTGCATTAGTCACAATTCAGAAACTACAAAAGGAGCATTTGGCCAGTCTTCCTCATCAGGCCTCCATTTTTGTTTTCCTTTGTACTGAGATGAAAAGATGACATCAGAGCAGTGATGAATTATACAGTTGTGTCGTGACGTAAACCAGACTTAATGACGCTCTCTCGCTGCCCTTTCAAGTTATATTTGACAAACCAGGCTAGTTTGATCGATGTAGCCTGGATGCCAGACCCATAGAGACCCATAGCACACTGGGCCCAAAAGTACTAGTGTGCACACTGGACTGGCTCTAGTAAAAGAAAACCATGTAACAGCTACATGGAAAAGAGTTGTGATGGGCATTGCAAAAAAAAAAATCAATACTTGCTGGAATCAATATTAGAGAAAACTTTGGCGCAAATTTCTCGGTTGCTATAAATATAATTAACATTAATCTCATCTTTTATCTCTCTTGTACAACTTTATATTTTTCAGATTCCACAACTGAACTGAACTTCAGATTCCTCCTCTGACTGAGAAATTTCCTCCCCATTTTCCAACCACCTCACCCACTACCATTCCTGGACGGTCCCTTAATACACAGCTCAGCAGTGTGAAGTCAGACCCTGCCAACATCGATTTACACTCCAGAAAAACACCGCTCAAAAATCGATAACTTAGCGGGACTACAGTATCTGTAAGCGTCTCTGCAAGGATCTCTTTAGAACCGTGATGCGATAGCTGTGGGGAAACGGGCAACTTCTAGGCCGCAGTTGGTGTTTGATTATGCGGCAAATCATCAGACGAAACGACAACAGTATGCATTAAATCTGTATCAACAACCTAAATTGGTCTAGGATACATGCCCACTTAACGTTCCGACAGGAATTATAACAGAACTTGTTTTGGGTGAATGTTTATACCTTTTCGTATCGTAATACCGTAGTAGTGACGAGAAACTATTTTGTTTAGAATAAGAAAAACATAAGTGTGCGCAGGTATTTGGCTAGTTTGTTTTCGGCAGCCCCCCTTTTGCTCCGCGTACCGTTAGAAATAACGTCCGATCTCCGGCGTTTGTTGTGCTACTGTAGCGATATAAGGACTCGTTTTTACGTCATACTCTGTCGTCGAGTACCTTCTTACAACCCAGATCAAACATCGACGACAAACAAATCAACGAACCAACAAACAAACGATCCTTCCTCAGTAGCTACTAACGTTATCCCCGCCCGGCCTCTTTTTACCTCGCACGTCTTCGAGCTCTGAGTCGCTTCGGAACTCAGCTTGCTCAGGCCGGCCGCCCACCGTAAAGTAGATCACCTTCGTCGCCATGTCTCGACTTTATCCTCGATCAGAAGCTTTCTTGGCGAGCATCTTAGACGGGTGTTAGGCTTCTTGAGACGTGGAACTGTTGAGCACTGGACGCAGCTGCGAGTGTCCCACAGCTTGTGCAAACTTCGCAAGGACGGTGTTAGATTGTTCCGTAGGGTCACGTGTCTGGTGGGCGTGCCCACTGTAAGAAAGGGGTGTTTCTCTTGAAGCGACGTCGAACGGCAAGATATGGTACTGCAGCAGAAGCCACTTTGACGCAGACTTTTTTGCCAGCGTATTGCAATCTTGTTATCATGGCTCTTAAAGGTTTAGCTTGTTGCTCCTTTACCCAAACACCAGTTAAAAGCTACCCTTTAATTTTGCAGATGTCAACATAAATACACAAGGAATTGTTGCCCAAGAAACCGGATAAATTTTAGAAATTGTCATGTTTCAAATTCAGTGGGATCCACTACTTTCCTTCAGTGACTGAAATGTCCCACCGTTTCGAAGATCTATCAAGCAGCTTGAGTAACAACTCCTTGTGTATCTCATTACCTGGATGTCTAACCTTTATCAAAGGGTCAACATGAATATATGTAACATGTATCTAGGTCAATATATTTATAAAGCTTCACACAAGAGAGATTGCATCTTGGGTGACACAAAAATTTAGATCAAGGACATTATAATCAACATAATGTCCTGGATTTATTGCAGGTTACGTTTCCTGTGTATCTTTATTTCATTGTGATACTGTTCATAATGTAGATCCTATTCCTTATATAGAATAGTCAAGGATTTGGAATGAAGGCAACATTCAACCATGGTTTCTTCATGATTTTATATTCCTTTGCACTATGAATGTAGCACAATCCACAGGTATACTGACATTCAATTCTGCATTTTCTTTTGTTGATACACACATCAACATGTTTCTACGGCAGATCTACACTGAGAAAAGAGACTCTTTTTACACAACTAAGTCTTTTATTCAGCCGACGTTTTGGTGACCGTCTGTCACCTTCCTCAGGGCAATTCTGACTGGTTCACATTGCACTGCAGCACAGGTGTCACTGCTATAGATGCATTCCCAAATGTATTCCCAATTCTATAGCAGTGACACCTGTGCTGCAGTGCAATGCGAACCAGTCAGAAATGCCCTGAGGAAGGTGACAGACGGTCACCAAAATGTCGGCTGAATAAAAGACTAAGTCTTGGATGTGTAAAGAGTCTCTTTACACAGTGACTTACCAACCTGATGAAACTATTCACGGAGGCAGATCTACACTTACATGAGTAAGCATTTATAGAAGGCTTATTTTTCACCAGAGGCGCATAGATAGTCTGCAAGACTGAATTGTTTTTCTTCTACAGTAAAAAAAGTAAAGTAAAAACAGAATTTTGGGCCTTCATTTTCACAGTCTTCCCATACATGCAAGCATGTACATAATATTTACTGTGCACAAGATATGATTATACAAAACATATGAGAAGCAAGTTACTTTTTTTCTACATTACACATAAACAGCAACTAGTTTCTTATTCCTATCAAATGTCATGTCTCTGTCTCAACTTGTTCTGTTTCCTCCAACTTTCTGATTTCTTCCTTAAACATCTGAATGGTTTGTTTGTTGCCCTTAAGCCTTTCCTTTAGGTCTGCGATTTCTAGTCTGATCTTTTTTCTGGCGTTCCCAATCTTCTCCAGAGTCTTCTGTTCTCGTTCTGCAACTGTGAAGAAAAAAAAAGGAAACATGCCACTCAGTTAGAAAAAAAACCAAAGGTGATTTGTAATGACAAGTTTCGCAGCATTTCTAGATTGATAGACTATGTATACACATCAGTCAAATGTGGCAGCAAACTACAGGAAACAAGACCACCCAGGATAGACAAACTTTCTAAGTGATACCTCGTGTATCATGTCATGGTTAGTGCAAACCGGTGTTCTAGCCAGCATCTGTCTTTTGATGCCAATTTTGCCACTCATCATGGACCAAAATTTTGCCCAAACCAGGCTGGCTAGAACACTGGTGCAAACAATATTCTTAGCATATCATTCAACTTTGCTCACAATTTTTCTAAAATCCAGATGCAAATGTTAAAATTACATGGCAGGTCCTGGATTTTGGGACAAGCTTTCAGCTCAGGGAATTATCATTCATTCAACGTGTTAATTTTTCATTTGTAACGCATCATTTTTCAGTGAATTCCCTTGAATGCTAAAGTTTGAGACACCACAAAGTGAAACCAAGCAAGATTCCAAATCCCATGTGACAAGCTGTCTGCTCTAAATTTACAGAGCTTTAAGGTGGTCCACTTAAAAAAGCTTAACCTACTGTATACAACCTGCTGACATAAGATGTGCTTCGAGTTTAGACCCCAGCAGACCTGCACAATAAAACGTTGAACTTCTCTGATTGTGTTATCCGTCAAACTTACAGTCTGTCTCGTGTTTCCACGGCCCCAGGGTGATCTGTCTTGTGCTGTTCAACATCGTCTGCATCATCTGAGTCGGGTCCTGGAAGATCTGCAGAGATGTTCACAACAATGCCCCCTAGTTATCAGCTGCAGTACTACAACTGCTGGTTATACACAATGGGAGGTGTTCAACTAGGATACGTTATATGTGTTTAAAAATCTGTTCAAATTCTACTTTTGAAATGAAAACAGTTTCTGAGCTGTTTTTGCTGGTTTTCTACTAAGATGTATTTGTTAAATACGGTATCTATTTGCAAGCAAAAGGTTACAACTTTTAGTTTTAGACGGAACCACAAGAGATATTGAATATTCATTTTGAACACTGGATCTGTTGCACGTCAGTGGTTTGTGTGGTGAAATTTCTGACATGCCTTACCAATTCTTCATGGTGTTCTGACACAAGCGTCTTCTTGCCAAGCATGATGTTGGTATCTGTCTGGAATAGCTTCAGGAAATGGTACAGTGTGACCTGAGGCAAAAATTAAAAAAAAAAACATGAACATGCAAAAATGGCTGTACCATCTTTCTGCTGACACAATTTTTATGTGTTGCTTGGGTAGGTATCAGGGAGAAAGTTTATATGCACAAGAGATTACATTTTATATGTACATTATGTATGCAATAAAATAAGATCAATACCTGTAATAACCATACAACTAAGGTAGCTACACTACCTACAGCGTGGGTATAAAAATCATTGGTTGTTATAACTGGTTGTTATATTCCATTTGCAAAAAGAATTATGATTTCAGAAGAAAGTATCATTAGTCTTAACAATAACAGCTTTCAAGTTGGCAACTGAAAGAATATAGGGTTGATACAACAAATCACCTATATTATATCACCTACATAATGCATTTCATGCCCAGGATTGTAATAAAAGAAGATTATAGTCTTACAGCAGACAGGATACCTTGTTCTTTGCTGTTCATGTCTGTTAATGCATGTTATTATGCTGTCACTTGCAATTTAAGGTTTTGGGTATGTATTTACATTCGCAATTCTAACATAAGGCCACAGCAAGTAATTTTTATGGATGACATCAGTGGGCACATTAATCTTTGCCTGATTTTGGAAATAAAAGCAAGAAATTTTGTTGCCCTCTGACAGTGGCCAACATGCCAAAAATGGACAAAGATCTGTTGCCATGCCGGAACATGGATGGCAGATAAGTATGAAGAGAGGAGACAAGACAAGGCCTTTTCTTTGATGCAGTGAAGTATTTCATTCCTTGTATACTGTATGTAAGTAGCTGTGTAAATGTTCCCACTGAATCAAAACCATTTGTACCATGACTGAAAACTTGTTTTTCAAAGTTGTTTCAGTGACAAATGCATGTTAGCTGTCAGTAAACCTACCACAATATATGTATCATTTCTTGTTTAATAAAGTTTATGATGTCAAAATTTGAAAATGTTGGAATCTTGTGTTTTTAGCCCACCTTGTTTTTTCCACCCTATCGCATTAGATTTGGAGTCAGAGGATGTCATCCATAAAATTTACTTGCTGTGGCCTAAATCATACGGTTGACTGATGAATGCAAGCTACAGATAGAACCTATAGCTTGCTATTTTATTGAAAGCCCAGCAGTTTACTTCCCCCTATATGCATACACTGTATGTAAGATTTATCAGCATGTAAGATTTATAGGCAACCTCCAACCAGGTGTAATTTAAGAGCTGTCCTATGTAGGGGATCTGTGGAAGATTACAGTACACAAAGGACTGTTCATGCTGTAATGCTGTGTTATTAACGGCCATAGCATGGCTGGATCAGGTCAACATTACAACTTTCAGTCTATATATCATTTATAGCTGCAACATGTTATCTATAATGTACTCCTTGGGCTCTTCTCATAAAATGTACTAAAGTGGCTCAAAATCAATACGAGTAATTTACTATGTTTGAATACAGCTACAAAAATACGATATCAGCAAAAATGCTACAAGAAACATGCCAAAATCTGTATACTAGTACCAGGGCTCGAAATACAGTCTTCTTTTTTTCCTGCATACCTGTACCAGTGCAGGTAACACTGAAAAATATACCTGCACCAGACAAGTTTTACCTGCAACACTCTGTTTAGAAAGTATGGATTGCTTTAAATACTGTTCAGAAACCATTCCAACAGTACTGTTGTATTATTTCTTTTGCACTTCATACCACATGTACATGTAGGTGGTAAGTCAATGCAGCAAGTAAAAAAAAAAAATATATATATATATATATATTATATTTAATCCCAGTACATGAACCAGTGCAGGTATACATCAGAAATACCTGCACAGCTCCAATTTTACCTGCACTAACCTGTACATACACAAGACATGGACCAGTGCAGGTTAGGTACAGGTAGACATCAGAAATACCTGCACAGTCCCAATTGTATGTGCAGGTGGTATTTCGAGCCCTGTAAACATATGCACTTTGAAGTTTGAAGCGCTGCAGTCTAAATCCAAGGACATTGTCAGGGACGAAGATATTGACTTTTTCCTGGTCATTCCTCCCTGTAACATCCTATCGATCGACAGGTCTTGATCCATGACTGTTACGCCACGGGGTAGGAATCACGAAACCTTCAGTAGCCTGCATAGTCCAGTTGTTAGCGACCCTGCCTCTGGACTAAGAGGTTATCTCTCTCCCGAAAGCATGCTACTACTAGTACTAGGAAGGGACAGGATGTTAAGCCATGGTCCACTGTTCGTTGTGCTTGTCGGAAAGAGCTAGGGGAATTTCCCCGATACAATGAACCTGTAAACACTGTACATAGCAACTGTACATCTCTGTCACAACCAGTGGGAGATTAGCTCGTCAGTGAGCTAAAACTGGATCTAGATCACTTTGAAATTCCTTCTTTCACTTACCGGTCTCTCGTTAGGGTCGTTGAAGTAAATTTTGATGATGACTTCAAACTCTCCCCACCCGGTCTCGGTTATCTCATACGGAGGTTTCGTCACCACTGCAATAAATAACACAAGAAAAAAACTTTCATCTGAGTCAGTTAATCATCAAGACATACATGTATGAGATAGACGACATAAGTCATAAAGGAAAACCCAATAGGGATTATTTTCTACAATATCAGCACAACACAGTCTTCGTGTAATGCATCATACATGTACATTGCTGCAGGGGTGGCCCCCGGAGCTTTTGGTATGGTGATAAATGAAAATTAAAACAAGCGAGAAACCAGCACATCTTGCATATTTTACTCAATATTTCCATGAAAACATGAAGTAACATCTGCTTTTGCAATGCTTTGTCAGGAGTATGGTAGCACAGTTTAGTACTAATAATTTTTTTCCATTCAAAGTGGGAAAAAGCTTATTAGTTCATACTTACTGGTATTTGCAAGGATGCCTCATCTTATATAATATAATGCATAATGATACACATCTTCTTTATAACATTTCCACAACATAGTAGATGTATATGGGTGGACTATATATGGCGAGGTAACAACACAAATTCAACTATTTAGGGCAGACTACACTAAATTAGGAAAAGTACACTTCCTGATTACATTCACAACTCAAAACACTTTGTATTATTAACACATTGTATCATCATTAAAGGCTCTTGTTGCCTTTGCCCGGCTTTCTTTCCTATTAAATTTACGATAATCCAGCCCCCAAAGTCTGGGACATTTGGTCTCCTGGCCCATGTAATATGCCATTTTCCTCATAATTACCATGAAATCTGTTTGAGGCTACATGTATATACAACATGTTGTAAAAAGTAATTAACAGTTTGAGCGGGGAACGAAAAGAGTGGCTCAACTGTACCCAAGGGAAAATGTTACACATCTAGTCTATAAATTCAATTACAAATCTATTTCCACATATGCATATCAGTTACTTTAGTATTCAAAGGAAGTCTTTCACACACCAACTTTGCAATGTTATTAATAGCCGTGCTGACAAATTCCCAGCATGAAATAACATGATTTATGGACAAGCAAAGTAGCAAAGAGAATTAGCTCTTTGCAATATATATCATAATGGAAAGATAGTCTCCCAATGCCAATCTTTCACAACATATTGCCAAAACTCAGAACTTTTTTCCCATGACTTTCTAAATATTGAATGATGATATTCTATGTAATTCTCCCTATCCTGATGATTAATTGTACTGGAAGGACAAGTGAGATTAAAAATGTTTCTCAAAAGAATGACACATGCTTTATAATTTTGGTTCAACTCTACTTGTACTTGTACAGGCTGCAAGGATTCAGTCTTTTGAGCAGGATCTCTTTAGAGTGCATGATCCTGGTTTAAAACAAAAATCCTACATTACTTTATCTAATTTTCAGAGTGGAGCAGGACAAAGAACAGGAGCTTTGTTTAAAAGAAAAATCCTACATTACTTTGGCTAGTTTTAAGTGTACAATCCATGTTTAAAATGATATCCTTTGATATACAATGTACTTTGGCTTACTGTGAAGCAAAATTTCCAGAGTAGTGCAAGATCTCTTTTATATGTAAGCATATAATCACGTTTAAAACAAAATCATACATTACTATGGCTACATGTACACGTAGTTGTCTAAGAAAATTAAATAAGTTTGGTAAGTTATCAAAGAAAATTTCCAGAGTTGTGCAAGATCTCTTTTATATGTAAGCATATAATCATGTTTAAAACAAAATCATACATTACTATGGCTACATGTACACGTAGTTGTCTAAGAAAAATTAAATAAGTTTGGTAAGTTATCAAAGAAAATTTCCAGAGTTGTGCAGGGCCAGTTCTAAGTGCAGTAGCCTGTTTAGTATGCCATGTGCATCCCTCCTGATGTACATCCCCGGCTTATGACTAATTGTGTGCTGATCTGTACATGTACATCTGCCTGAACTTTGAGCATCATTTGGGTGATTACGGAAATCTGCCGCTGCCTGGAGTCTCCTCCCACCGCTGGCAACGTCAATACCAGCGGCGCGGCACGGCAGGAATTATACATACGTGCGCGCGCCGTCCTTCAAGCCACACGGCCTGTTTCAAGGTGGGTACACTGTGTGTTCTTTGTAAAAGTGAGTCAATATGTGCATTGTGTATGCATTGATATTTGTTGGTTGGGTGAACATACCGGTAGTGTGAAGTGCATTTGGGCTGTCCCACTAAAAAGAAGGGATAGAACAGAAAATAATATTTTTGCCAGTCTTCAGTGCAAAAGATCATGATTGCTAGTCACAAGCAAGTCAAGAAATATACTCATTTGACTGAGCACAATAGTACATATCTGGCTGAATTGTAGTTTGTTTCATGCGTACTATAGAAACAGAGGTATTTGACATACAGGTGTATGACTATAAGTTGATCTAAGTTTGCAGAGATTCAAGTTCAATGTAGCAGGACAAAGTGGCACTGCATGTTTTTTTAAGTTCTCAGTTGAAATAACTGTTACATTACAGTAGTAACACAATAAGTACAATCAGCATGTGCTCCCAGTGTAGTTTAAGTTTAAGATTTCGGTGAAAGCTCACAGCAAAATTGTAAATATAATTAATATCCAAGCAGATCTTATGTTGGCGGCAAAGACAACTTATCAAACTGGCCAGGCAGTATCAATTTGCCACCTGGCGTAAAAAAGATACAGCAACTACCGGTAAGTAAAAGAAAAAAAGAAAACCCAATAAAAATGCCTAAAGTAAAAAGACGTCAAAAATAATCTGAAGCCTAAACCTCTGCCTGGAGAGTAAACATAATGCAACAGTGAATATTCTTTGATTTACTAAGAAAGATCAGGTTTGTACAGCAAATGCTTTTATTCATTGTAGTCTAGGCTCATGCATATATTGGTCTGCCGTCCTGAAGTTTAAGTGCTCGTACAGTAGTTTGATTTTCCATTCTATCAGGGCAGGCAAGCCCTAATTGATTAATCCTTCCTACTCCTCCTTCAAAACTAATTAAGTCCATTTCTCTTTTTACAAAAATTAATTTTCTGTCAGAGATGATTTAACATGTATTGTTTGTGTCAAACACTACGTTTGTAAAATCCCACTTTCTCTCTTTTCTCATTTCTCTCTTCTTTCTCTATTTTCTCAATTTCTTCTTTTCTCTTCACTTTTAATTTCCTTCTGACTGATACAGTAAATTTTTTCCACAGACTTTTTTTTGGGGGGGGGGGAATACTTATATGAGGAAGTGGGGGGGAGCAAAGGAAAAGAAATTTCAGCTGGAGAGGAGTTAACATTTAATTTTTTTTAACCTGGGGGAGGGACAGGGAAAAATTAACCCTACACTGTACAACCGGCTGTGCTCTGCTAAATGAAAGGTTCGGAGTACTGCCTTTTTCACATGCAACAGAGACAAACCCTGGATGTTACTAATAGTGTAACTCTAGCTGACCTTCAAATTTGGGAACACGCAATTTTCTCTCCGCAAAACCAATCGATAACATGCTGAGTCTCCAAGTCTACCACAGGCTGCTGACTTAAGCCGGCTTCAGAAACTGCCGGCGTGGACATGATTTACCAAGGCTAAAAAGAACAGGGCTTCACAGACGTTCTGGACTTCCTCCGCATGCAATAATCATTGCCTGTCTGCGCCGGGAGTACTTTGATAGATGGGAGCACCAGACAAACCTGGCCCAAGGTGCATGGACTGTACAGAACATAACTGTTACAGTTTTAATGTGTTCGACCTCATTAATGTCCCCATACGTCCTGATATTCCCTTCAGAGTTGGAATTCTGAATAGGTAAACCATATGACTGAAAGGAAATTAAGTCTGTCTTCAAGGAGTTAGAATCTGCAGACAAATCCAATATTCAAGGAAGAGGTGGTTGAAATTTAGAAAGTTTACAGTAATGAGAAAGCATATATAATATATGAATGGTCCATTCGTGGTCGATAGGGAGACAAAGCTTTCATGCTGTGTGACGTTGCCAACCAGTAGTTCGTGTTCAACAGAAACTGACATCCTGGGGAAGCAAGCCCTGGCTTTTCAGAGAACTTACATGCACCTGTATCATTTATTAGGACAAACTATTTCTGACACAAGTGCATGGTTGGCTATGTTGACATTAAAACCTATGAATGTTTCCAATATGTGTAATCCAACAAAGACAATTTTCATCATGTCTTCTTTTAGTTTTACCTCATATCAACTTCTTGCAGACTGCCATACCTGCTGCCAATTTCCCTGTAAGAAATTACATGCATGTCTAAGGTCAGGAAACTAATAATTCTTTGGCTTACATGACAAACTACATTACTGTAACTGTTACATTCACATGGACTTGATAATCCAGGAAACTTCTGCAACTTGCTTCTGAGTTCTGACTTATACTTTCATCTCAATACAGAATTTTACAGTTCACGGCAGACAAAAACATTGGCAAATCTGTCATTTTTACTCACAAAAATTGGAGAATATGGAAGGAGATGCCATTGAACTAAGCCTAGTCTACCAGCAAAATTTGCTCCTCAAAATGCAGTTTACAGGATCAAGATTTATGCCCCTGGACTCTCAACACCAAACAGAATTGAGAAGACAGAACAAATTTTCAGGCTGGCTAGCACTGACTGCTGTCAACATTGTAATGGAGCAGTCTGTGACTGTCTACAGCCCATGAACCTGACATTCACATTGTTTACAACTTCTCTACCATCCGAGCGCGCCTGAGCAAGCCTGGCATCTCCGATAACATCAGTCTTCCTGGCACAGACACATCTCCCAGTGATCTACACTCCAACACTCAACAATTTCTCCTACCCCTGCGGCGGGATTTATGATTCCGATACACATCACTGCTCTGTTCGCAGGGCGGTGCAGCCTTTCAATTCCACATGAAAGACATCCCCTGAAATTGCTAACGATTTCTTATATATAAAATATGGCCAATGCTGTTGAAAAATCCTTTCCTGAGGGGGGAAAACAGAAAATGTTATTGATACTGTATGTACCCTTCGTTTAAATTCCACCCATTTTTTCTCCAATAATTTTTGGCGACGCCCTTTATATCTTCTCTTGCCAGATAAAAGTGTATATTTATTGCTTTACAAGCAATAGTTCCAGGGTGTATAAACTTTACTGACAGACCAATATGGCTTCCCCATCTAATCATGTTTGAAGTAGCTGCCTTAGGCCTTCCCTTTGAAATTTATCTCTTCCAATATTTGAAAAAGCCAACACTGTCGAACAAGCAGTTAAAGTCAAACCAACTATGGAAGATTTAATCAAATTCATATTTTACACAATCATTTTTAATAGCAACGCGCCAGGAGTTTTATGAGTTATTATTCCCTTTTTTTAACTTGTGTAATTTCAGAATGATTGTATCTACACTTGGGTAAATGAACCTCCCAGGTCTGATTAATGATTTCTGACAAGTTGATCCATGGATGGATAGGATCTGGGGTGTCCCAAGCTACTTAATGATTTCTTCGGAGATCAGAGATAAGATGCATGCAGGCCCAGCAGGACCATCATTCAACTTTCATCACAACCTTAGGCCTACCAATTACATTATCAAACTTTGCCTTGATAAAGAGTGAATGAGCTATCGATGCGCAGCAATCTTTCGCTGATAGACGTTTCATACTACACCGTAAAATGTAAAGGCGGATTTTCGTATCTCTCTCTGTGATACCAAACAGGTGATTTACAGCAAAGCACTTGTAAAGCGACACCCAGCTGCCTTGGGAGGGAAAGTATCTTTTAGGAAACCAGATTCAGAGTCAATTGCAAAAGCCATTCACCCAAGAGAAAAGAGACACAACTTTCAAAAGGAACTCATTAAAAGGAGTCTATTCCACCTTCAGTATCCATCAAGTTCGCTCAAGCAGAAAGGGAAAAGGGAACTGAGGCGGTACTTTACATCTGTGCAGCCGGGCGTTCTGAGCACAGCGTCTCATGAAGGGAATGTCAAAACATAACAAGGGATTATTCATGGCCTGCTGTCACAGTCTACGGGGAAATACATGTACGTCAAACAATTCATCTTAAACATTTTCCTACCACCATGTATGAAGCTTGTATCAGATCTACAAAATAATCTACAAATTTATAGAACATCAGACAACTAAAGATAACAAAACCGGATGTTCTGCTGCCATACCAAAGGAAGCCACTAGGAAATCATTTCCAGTTTTCCTCACACCCTACCAATGTACCAAGTATGAAACCAATCCATCCAGCCATTCTTGAGTTATTGTGTTGACAAACAGAATGACAAACAAACAGACAGACAGATGCAACTGAAAATATTTGTATACCCTCTGTGACATTTCATGGAGGTAATACATTGTTATCTGCATATTCATAAAGCCTGATAAAACAGTTGGCTATGTTAGAACACTTTCGCCTCAAGACCCATGACGGACATGCATCATACATGTACATGTACAATGTACTATCCTCCTACGATCACAAACTGGGGGCATTTGGGGACAGTCGTGCATGTATCACACAGAGCATGTGTCAGATGGAAGTCGGCTGTCTCATAAAAAGCTGTCTTAAGATATTGTCTGCAGTTGGTTTTGTCACAGCCTGCTTGCAAATACTTTGACATCAAAATCGTATGTCATCCCATACAACTGATGTGACCCCGCCCGTGTGTGAGTCTTAGAAACATAATACCATACAGTGACCCAAGTATGGCAGGACAGTCAGGAATGGGCATCACCTTGTAAAGGGGCACACAAAATTTATGGTCTGGATGCCGTAAGGGTGACGTGTCATTTCATCACAGTATGACCTGAATAGAAGATTGTTAAAAAGGCAGCTCCTTTGTTGATATCATAACAGAAAACGTATATCAAGCCCTGCCAGCCTGGATGAAGAGCTGGTATGTTGGCTGAAGAGTTGTAAATCTGTTATGTAATACAGATATATGTAGTTAGCAAGACATCTGCACTTTCATAGCTTGACAGATTCAGATAGTTCTGCTTTTCTATAGAAATTACAGGTATGATTTCTTATCCAGCTGTTACAAAATCCTTCACTGAAGCTCTGCAATCTCTGCTATAGGAACTTTCAAGCGAGTGCCATCTTTCTCTTGATTTCCAATAACGCTTGACTTGGCACGTCGAATCCGCAAGATAGGCCTTACATCCACTTCTGGCAGAAAACACATGTCCGGCGCTGACCATTCGTGATGCTTCTCGTTTTAAATGCTTACTGCTGTGTGGTTCTCAGCAAGGTCAGAAAGGGCATTTAAAGGCCCAAGTTTGGAAGAAACTAATCTGGGACTGGGCCTGACTTATTGACTGAACCCCATCCTTTCCTGTGGGACGGAGATAAGGTATGATCTTGTCTAAACAATATATCCCACATGGGACGTGTAGGCCGTCCCATTACGGACCCGGGGTCAAAACGACACATCTGGCTATAACGTTTTGTGGCAAGGACACCTGAATGGATGCAGGAGCCCTCCCCGCGCAAGAAATCACCCCCTAATACAGATTACCGGGTGCGGAAAATCTGACAAGGGACGTCTGTTACAGAGGCAGGGCATAAAGGGGGTTCGGAAGCCTGGGAGGTCAATTCGTTCTTTTGGGCTCTCTCAAAAGTAGCAATACGAGGGCATCTGAAGGCGGCTCAGTGTGCAGCGGCGCGTGCAAGAACTGGAACTGATTTTGCAATAATTCATCAGCAGATTAGCTGACAGCATCTGTGTGTTCCATCAGAGGGAACCCGGAACATGCTACTGCAGAAGTGAAGTCAACCGACAACATTCTGTAGTAGTGGTTTGGGGAATGACCATCCTCACCAACATGGCTATAGGAGTGGAGTTGCCCAACGGTAGTGGTCTGGCAGGACAGAACACACACAGAGGCCAACAACTGCAGGTGAGCTACTAATCTTGTCATCTAGAAAAATGCATTATGCTTCAAAGTACCACCTGCATACACAGGTTAGGACAGGTAAAATTAGAGATTTCTGATGTCTACCTGCACAAGTCCATGTGCTGGGTTTTTATTTGATTGTTACCACTACACGTAAGAGTATGAAGAATAAGATATAATTAATGTCAACGGTTCCTTACAATCAAGGTTTTAGTATGATCCATACTTCCTGAGTGGTGCAGGTGACATTTGTCTGGTACAGGTAATTTTCAATATTCAGTGCAGGTATTTGGAAAAAGGTATTTCAAGCCCTGTTTACCAAACTTTCCTTTTCTAACCTCTTTTTTTAGATAGTGAATTTTTATTCAAGTACACTTGCATCTTCTAACCATGCAAAATCTTGTAATCACGAAACTGTAGAAATTGATTACTGCACTTAAATCAACCATTAAGCCTGTATGAATTATTTAATGTTCATTTTCCGTCTTGCTAACCTCTGGACTATTCACTTGCCAGCATGTCACACACTTCTGTGCCATGATCTGATGTGATAGATTATAAAATGTACCATGCCCATAGCCAGGGGTGTTTGGAAGAAGGTCCACTTTTTATCTAAAGGTCCAAGATTTTTCTTTAAAAGGTGGACTGCATGACCAGCAGGGCTGGAATCCTAGAAAAACTTTGTCATTGAATAAAAAGTTATTTGATTTTTCCTTTGAAATCCTTTCAAACATGTAGGAAATGCCATTTCAGCAGGTTCAATTTTCAAAATTTTCTGGGGGCCCTAGGAATCTTGTACCCTTGGCGCTCCCTGGTCCCTCAGACAGTGAAAAGAACACCACCACCCCCCCAAGCAAAATCCTGGCTATGGGTATGTGTACTACCCTATGGTCACAGCCCCATGTGACCTGATCATTTCTGTTTCAACCCATATCCTTCAGACTAGTGTTACCACATGGGCAGACTGTTTCCAAGACCTGAACAGGCCAGTTCCTAAGCTCCAAGGCCAAAATGCACTCAAGAAAATTATTCCACAGCCTCCCCTCTGTTAGCCTAGTGCAATATGGGTTTGGCATCAAACTTCTTGGGGACTGCAGTTCAAGTTTGGTCTGTGGGGTGTAAATTGGTACACGTCCTGTAATCATTATGCATGGATGCTCAAAGAGAAGACATGGATGCTATTTGGGGTTATGACTTACATTATACATCTAGCTGGGAAATGTTTGTTTTCATTTCTGTGCATAGATGGTTAGCTTGGACAACTCCACCTGATGTTTTGATTCATTTACTGAGGTGTCTGTGTTATATGGGACTCAGATATACATTGTACATGTAGATATCTTGAAACAAAATTGTCATGTACATAACAACATCCATAAAAACAGATGTTCTAAGGTAGTAAAATAATCCATGATAGAACAGGTATATATTTTGAATCAACATAGTTCTACAATAGAAATATTTGCCTCACTTTACAGGTCTGAATATCATTCCTCAAACAGAAATAAAGAGGCTTATAAGAAGTAATCACCTCTGACAGGGTTGGCATAGGTCTCGTGCAACTTGAACTCGATCTTCTTAACAAACACTGACATGTCCTAGACAGAAGAGACAAGAAAACAGCAAGTTATTAACATTCTTTCTCCCCAGTGTTCTTGCCAGAGTCCGTCTTTCTGTCATTTGGCAGAATTCTGCTGTTCACGATGGACAAAAACTCTGTCTAATTCCTCATCTTTGACGGGGAAAAATCGGCGTGTTAAGATATGGAAAGAGAGGTCATTAAACCAGTGTGATTTTTAAGCTCCTTGATTATCAACTAAGCTTAGTCTACCAGCAAAATTTGACGCTCAAAATACAGGAAATAGAGTTTCGAAGACTTCAAATTTTCCCAGGAGAGCTTGCCCTAGGATTGTTGTGCCTTTGATGCCTGATTTGTTGTTACACAAACAAACTTTAGATGATGGCTGGCTAGAACACTGGACTTCCTGCTAAGGGATACTGTAGTGGGTAAAACACGCTAAACTAGTAGTACATGTATATTAATCAAATTTGCACTGGATTCAGCCAAACTTGGTACAGAGGGGGTTAAACCTATCCATCACGCCAACCAGCCCAGAGGCAATAAAAAAGTCATCTCTGCAAGCCGAATGATTGGTTGGGCTTGGAACTCAGGTCGATGAATAAAGCAGATTGCCTTCTACGCTCCAGTAAATTACAATTTGAGTTACTTAATTGTTAATACCCCCGGAGCAAAAGCAAAACCCCTTGAAACCAGAGACATCAATAAAGATAAAGGCTGATACCGGTGATGTATTGAATAACTTGTAATATAGACACATATGTGTTGGGCTGGTAAATCTACTGTCGATATGTAATTCTCTAGAGGGAAATTTACAGGCACCAAGAGTGCAGAAGGCTTTAGCAGAATTGTATTTTATTTCGAGTGACAATTAGAGGTAAACCCAAGAGTAGATTTGGTTACACAATACATATACATTTTGCAGGTTAACTTGTCTTAAAGTTATCAATAATAATTAACAAGTGTAAGAAACATGAATATCAGTAATGGGAGAATACAAACCTAAAGTCTGTGATATATTGACTAAACTAAAGCTCCTACCAACTCTAAATTATTGTACTTAAATTGCTAATGAATTTTGTCTGTGTTGGTAAAATACATGTATGAGGTATAAAAATAATATCTTTTTTTATGTTTTCTTAAATTTCATTAAATTATTGACCTTTGGAAAAAAACTGACCATTCAAATTTTACCAAGTAGACTAAGCTTAGTTCAAAATGACAAAATCTTTGTCCGTCACGAGCAGCAAAATTCCATGAAATGACAGAAAGACTGACGCTAGCTGAACAAGGAGTTCTACCCAGAAATCAAATTGAAAGACAGTTGAACCAAGTCATGGCAGGGGCAAAAAGTCACATACTGGGAATTACTGTTTAATAGATCTTATGATCTGCCTGGACCGTTCAATATGGGCACCTTGTAAACCTGTTTATCAAACCATGCAGTGTCCCATATCTTCAATTTCTGCATATATATAACTTATTAGGACAGTGGAGATGATAGCAACAGGTATGGGTCAATGCATGAACTTTCCCAAGGAAGTCTGGATTCCGAAGTACATGTACAGTATCTGTTCAGCACAATATCAACCATCAATCATAGCATTCATAGGTGATCCAATTGCAATGAATAACCTTCTATTCTAATCTTACTCGAAGTCGGACTCTAGCAATCTTACAGTAGCAGAATGAATATGATTCAAAACAGTCCTTAACAATGTAAAAGTACATGTCATCTAGCTTTCTACCAGTCACACTGTAATACACACAACTTATGTACATATACATGTACAACAATGATGATGTCTTCTGTTTTCACTAAGCCTATAGTATTCCTTTGTTACTCCAATGTCGGAATGTGTGAGTTTTACACATAGAGGTCTCAATTAACTTCCCATCTACATGTCTGAAAATTGCAACCAAAAATTTGTGATTATTTCTTGGGCAAAAACATTTGGATGTCCTTAGCATGAAAGTATGTCCTTATAATCTTGTATGATATACCCTATAGACAGCCAGACACTATTGCAGCTAATTTTAAGTGCATGCAGTTTACACAGCTTTAATACAGTTTCAACTGCATTTACCTTCTTAACTTTACCCTGCTTCTACCGGCTTTCAATGTACTAGTACTACATGTAGTATGGCTTAAATGCGATTTACTAGTACATGACTTTTGGATGTGAAGCAAACAAGTTAAAACTATGTAATTGTGTAAAACACATGTTAAGTTCTTCTTTGTGTTGTGTATCAAGTATCAACGCCAAGTTGAGATCATGTGTTGTGTAAAGGGAACTAAGATCAATACTATGCTGTACAGTGTACATTGACAAAGGAACATACAAACCTCATTTTTGAACGGTTTGACATACACAGACCAGGCATGGGTGTGTCCATCCTCCTCCCTCTTCTTGCCAAAATACCTGGCCGTGTTCCCGTACACAATGGGTTTTACCATCATCAGACCCTGCACATAACACAAGGGAAACATCTTCATCATCGATATCATTGGATGGCTTAACCTTGTCCTACTGCTCCTAACAATAAACAATTTGTTGGGAAGCAATTTGCTGTGCCCTACATAACATAGCCTGGGTGCCAAACCCATAGCACACTGGACAAAATATCTCAGTGAGCATGGTGCTGTATGGAGATACGTTTGTGTCCAGTGTGCTATGGGTTTGGCACCCAGGCCATACCGGCATACATAACATGGAAAGGTTCGATTTTTTTCTCATGTATGTAGTGTTATCAGGACTTGGTAGTAACAAATTGTAGACAAGTAAAACTAAAACAAAAGCAGTTCTGTCGCATGTTCAGAATCTTCTCCCGACCACCGAATGACCTTGAGGTTGGCTGAAGTTTGGGAGCTGCCTGACCAGATTTGTCAGTCACAGACACCATAACCTCCTTGGTCACACCTACCTTTCCATATGTATCAAACTGAATTTGAGTGTTTTCCTAGACATTATTAATTTTCATTCTTCCAAATAATTGTTTTCATTCATAATTTCATTCATTTTCATAATTTCAAAACATAATATTATCATCCAAAGTGTTTTTTGCTAACATAATTTTTACAAACCAGCACCTCCTCCATCTTGACAACATTATACAAAAGATACAGACATATAAAGATAACAAAATTTGTTTATGTTTACTCCTTGATACCTCATTACTCATTGCAGCCAACTTGCTGCTTCTTCTGTCTGGGTCGACTCTAAACAAAGAAATTCTGTCCACTATAAAAACCCACACACCTAACACTCCTACGGTACGATTTTCTGCACGTCTATATATTTCTAGTCCCCACAATTCAGCCTACCTTTGTCCGGCCGCCCGAATCGGGACCGTACTCCGCCATCTTGGACTTGAACATACTGAGGAATCGGCTCGCTCTAGCCCTTCTGTAATTGGTCGGTACAAACTTGCCTGGGGCAACAACCTCTAAAGTAAGTTGCCCAAACGAATCTCCGAGACGCTGAAAACCTTTAGAAAGTACTTTGGTCGGTAAGAGGCGAGGAAAGTGACAGAATTCTGCAGAGATATTGAGATTTCCGGGACAAAAGCTGCGCCCGTCTCAGTTTCATTCCTTTCAGACGGTAATGTAGCTAGAGCCAATCAGAGAATTCGTTATAAAATGTCGTCGGCTGTGAGAATGATCTTTGACCCGTTTAGAATTTTTGGCGCGAAGACCGCATAGAAATGTAGAAGTATTTAGTTTTATCGCAATTTATAGCCGATTCAAAAGGATGAATATAATCATACAAATGAGAACTACTTTTATTCTTGACATTTACAGTTTACATGGTGTCAAACAAGTTACGTATAAAGAGAAATCTTGTGGAAGACTTTTCATAACATTGATGCATGCGGTTACCGACTGTTCGCGATCTTTACTGGCTCAAACCATTATGCGACAGGTGTATGTTTTTATTCAAATCAAAGCAATTTCATTTTATACCTTTACATTCTATACCTTTCTTACACAATTGTAAAATTAGAATACATAATATTTTAGTTTTAATGGCATAGTTATCTTAAGTCAAATAACTTTGTTATTGTTGCTGTTATAAACAGCTATTCCTTCACATCACCCCTGTTTTGCAAACTAGCATAGAACTGTAATGTTGTCCTACAGGGCGCTTGGTAATAAGCCATGCCGTGACCTCCCGGTCGCATACCAAGGTGAGAAGGTGTTTTGCGCCCATGTTTTTGTTTTGATGTCGGCGCGACCCTGCTCCAAAGATCACAAAGGCTGTGCCAACACTAATTCCGATATCTAGGTAAGTATGTGGATGTTTTCATGGCGATTCTGCTGCGTCAAACCCGCTGTGAATATGTCCATATTTCTGGTCACGCAGCAGGTGGAATTGCCTTGTAACCCGATACCTTATTGGGCTTGCCGGTGAGGTAGCGTCATGTTAAGGGGTCAGCTGGGCAAGACGCTTAAGACTACCAAAGAAAATCAAAGCTGCCTTGGGATTATAGTTTCTTCATGCTCAACCTCAGAATCAGATGATGAGAGAAAATGACGATAAGGGCCAACACAGAACTAAAGCGTACAAAAATTTGATTTTATTATTGTAGTCATTTTGAGTGAGTTGTTGTTTTGATTTCATTTGCTTTCATAACATTTCAACACTTACAGGAAATTCCACTTCCCAAGTTTAACATGATTGTTATTTTGATAACCATCTTTTCTTCATATCAGTAGCTCAACTTACTTTAAAGTATAATTATCATCTTGACATCAAAGAGGACAAAAGGTCCAAATCCTCATCATCCCTTCCCTTCAAGCCTCATTAGTAGTAGTTTCCCAAAGGTCTGTTTCCCAGCTTAACCCCTGACCTCCACGGACAATTTGTCTTCACCTCTTTGGAGCTGATGAAAGCTGACCCCACAGTGGTGCCTGATAGATATACCAGGCTAGACTGTCTAATGATAAGTGATATGACATGTTCGACCTAATTTCTGTTGTGTAACATATGTGTGACTGATAGGTTGGCTCCCTACACTGTGAAGGAGAATTTTTTTTCTCCCTATTGTCCCAGAATTGTCCCGAAAATAAATTTCAATTGTCCCAAAGTGAGGAGGAACGGTCCCAACCTGTTTTTTCGGGAAGTATGTATGATAGCAACTTGAAGTCAACTTTATTTTGCTTACATTCTGACTTCCAGGCATACTATAATTGCAGAGTGCACAAGAAATTTGGGGGGCTTTTCTGGAGCCAAAAGCTGGGACGCGTGCCTGATCAACGAAAGAAGGGATGACATTCTGATGTTGATTATTTTTCTATTGTTCCAAAAATGTCCCAAAGTGACTTTCTAGTTGGCCATCTTGACACCGTTAATTTCGAGCCCTGCATGGATTGTGAACATAAGTTGAAAGGTCATGACCCAGTGAAGTCATACTAGTAACCCCAGGAGTAATGGCTCCTGCTTGACACCTGTTGCATCTATTACAAGGCTTAAGTGCCACCTGTATATACACCTATAGGTAAGTGCAGGTAAAATTGGAGCTGTGCAGGACTATTTCTGATGTCTACCTGTAACTAACCTGCACTGGTCGATGTACTGGGATTACATGTAGGTGTATGTCGATTTTTATTTGCTACATTGGCTGTTACAACCTATGAAGTATAAAAAAAGGCTGCAATCTTGTACTTCAGTAAGCTAAAGGAGTAAGCAAGTTTGCTATATACTATAATATAGTGCTAACTTTCCGGCAGCATTTGCTAATTCAACTCCTTAGCATATTTGGCGTCCCACCAGCAGTAGCGAGACATTCACGGAGGCAAGAAGAAAACCAATTAGAAGAAGATCAATTAAAGAACAGTACTGTAACAGTCTTTGTAGTAAGTGCTTAGAAAGTGAAGTGGACACTTGCTTTTGAACTTTGCGTTCAGCAAAGATTCATTTTGTCCCAGATAAAATCTGGCCACCTCCACCTCTAAGTAGAAGGTATTAGTCTTGTAGCACAGAATGTAAGACAGAATGAAGGATCAACCTCTCAGTCATTCAGGGGAGCTGCAACAGCAATTACCATTTAAATAACTTTTCCCTCACCAGGCTTAACCGTGGCAAAAACCTTGTTTTCACTGGATTTAGATAAGACAGCCACATAAGCCTTAGTGAACAAGAAATTCTCCATAACTTGAAATCAGTCCAAACTTGTATATCTTGACACATTTAGGACCTGTACCTGTAAGATTGCTGCCTTAAACACTTTGCATGAAAAAGGGAAAATTCAATCAAAGCATTGATAATTCGTTGGTCATAGAATGACAAAGAAATTGGAAAATGGTAGTTGCAAGAGAAACGGCATGGACTTGGTTGTAAATGTTGAAATTGAAAAAGTAACGGCTTAGAGAGATTCAGGCGATTTCCTGGTCTGCTGTAGTGCAGCAATGGCTCTTAGGAACTGCCCAATAGGCTCTTGAATGGTAATCCAGGCAATTTGCTCACACACTGTGTTGTAATGTGTGCTTCTGAAGCTGTAAGTGGAAAGTACAATGTGGTATGTAAGTTACTACATTGGGCCTAGGAAAATTAATGTTGTGTTTCCAGTTTCAGTCCTGAAAAAACTAGGGTTGGTAGATAGGTTTTTTTTTTTAAATTTGTTTAGATTTCACCTAAAATGATGCCACAAATAATGTCTCAAGGACCCGTCCACCTGTTTGCTTGTGAACAATATTTCACTTCAAAAGAATTATGCTAATGTAAGTTCTGGAATGCATTCAATGATGTTTCAGAGTTCAGAGGGTTTGAGGATCAGATGTCAGAGTCAGATTGAAAATTTCATCTGAGAACCAATTAATTAAATTGTTGTGGCCTTATGTACACCTATGTGAAGCTGGTTTATATCATGGTTGAACAAACTCAACAAGATGTGAAAGTTTGTTTATTCAAAGAGCCACGGGCTGCCCCTTGTCAATCTATAGCCTGTAGGACATGTTGAAAGTTTACTTAGTCCCTGTAGTTGTCAGAGGTGACTGTATTCACAGATGTGGGAAAAACTCAAGACTTCAGATCAAGTCAGACCAGATATCAGTAAAGTTAGCCGCATGTGTAAGACACAAAAGGCAGTACCTAAAAAGGGTGACACTATGGGTGAAATTCTGCCAACGTCCACTGCAAGTTCCAAATTAGACTGGACAACATGCAACTTGAAAACATCTATGGATCCGGAGGTTTGTGTTAGTGATTCTCAATATTTATTTGATCTTTGATATTTCAAGATGACAGTCACTTTGAATGTACCATTATGTCTCTCTGTCAGTCAGTCTCAAAAGACTGTCCATGACTTATCTGTGCATAACAACAAGATACATTGTTTGTAGTACAGTTCCGAATTAATACCTCTATATACACAGTACAAAATGTAGAAAACAACTCTCTACAGAAATTCTAACATCGGTGAGATTTAGTTCAAATGAACATGAAATATCATCTCATCAGCAGTATTTCAAGTTTTCCAATCAAACTTTCCCGTTTGTTATTTATTGATCACCCTTCGGGCTATCAAGAGATCCTGGCAGAATGAAACTGAGGAGGGTTAATGGGCCTGAAATGGCCAGAATAATTCCTGTAAGATTATTACAACATCACTCACGGGCGTGACTGCAGATGTGGTGACAGTTTGATGCCCTCCAGTGTTGTCAGGATTGATGATTTCATCAGTCTCTGTAGTCCTTAGATCTCATCACTACCTGTGTTCATGTTATGGAAACAAAAGTCATACACCTACAGGAGGGCTTCCCAGTAATGCTTCAGTAAAGTAGAAAAAGCCTGAAAATTTACTGAAATGTTTAATTGTTAGTAGGTGATCAGTACTTAACAGTAAAATTTCAGTACTGGTGGTTTGCCAAGGGACATGTAGATTGTACATTGTACATGTACCTGCACTGGTGCAGGTAACATTAAAAATTAACCTGTGCTTGACATTAGTTTGAAAGTCTTCAAACCAACTGATTAAATTGGTATGGCCTAATGTCATCTTGATATCCAGTTTTTTTCAGATGTAGGGAGCCATTTTTGCAACATTAAGATAAGAACCTGCAGTCGTGGAGTGGATTCCCTTCCTTATTCCATGCCATTCTTCCCTTTTACCTTGTATGTTATTATTCAAATCCCATTTCCATGCTCATTTGATTGGGATTTCATACCCACAATGTCGAAAGGATTCCTCTTATTCCCTTTGAAAAGCAGGCACTGTGACTACACATGCCTAATTCTCCCGTCCAATTTAAAAGGCATCAGCATTTCAATGTTGCCCTTCGAGGCCCACAGGCTGACCCAGCCAGGCGTCTGTCTCCTCAATCCTTCCCTACTTTTCATCTGTAGTGACAGCTCCGGAATTCTGAAGGTGTCCTTCATGCATGGCGATTTCCCTGGTGACAAATATGTGTATGTAATGGTACAGTTAAAAACAGTGCTCTAGCCAGGCGGATTTTTTTCCATCATCTCAATTTTGTTTGATGTAAACTTTAAGACAGTCCATAGGCAGGACAATCCAGGGGGGTTGGGGCATGCTACCCCGGGAAAAGTTTGAAATCTTGACCCACAGAAACAGTATTTCCTGTGTTTTGAAAGGAACATTTTGCATGCAATAAGCTTGAGTTTAATGACATCTCTTTATGCACATATTTTTCTTCATCAAAAATGACAGATTGGGCAAAATTTTCGTCTAGCTGTCATGAGCAGCTAAATTCCCTCAAATGACTGAAAGACTGACACTGGCTTATAAAGAACACTGCAACAGTAAAACCTGTTCACATTTGGCTGCAGCTTCAGTTATGGAAGTCACAATGAGCTAACAGCTAAACTATGCTCACAACGTCATGCATCATTCCTTGTGCAGAGGTCTAGATCTGTAACCACACAACTGTGTTGGTACATATGTCCACCGGCAACTGCTTTTGGCTTTATGTCACACTTTAAAGGGCCTCCAAGAGAACTGCTTATAGAATGTAGGGCATTGCCTTTTCCAGAAATGAGATGTATTCATTTGCACATTGTATTGCATGCGTTCCGATATTACGTAGCCTCTGGTAATACATGTAGTAGATATTAGACACTATGGAATAATCCTAATGGAAATTATTATGAAGCTAATGCAGCATTGATTTTGACACTGGCCACTGAGGATTGATGGATTTGCAGTGTAATAAGCTTATTAATAATAAGCATTCACAGCTTTCTTTCAAGCAGTATCAGCATATCAGCAAAATAGGATGACGGTAAGGCTTGTAATTACTGAAGTGTCAAAAGCTAAGAATGAAAGTTTTTTTTTTTCTGTAAGGCATTGCATTATTTTATCTTGCACTTTGCCCAGATTATTGTTGGTCTCAAAAGCTTTCTGCACGTCAAAGTTATTAGCTTTTGAAAAGTTTTTGCGTAGAATTAAGTAGAGGAAGCCAGGGCTAAATCTCATGGTAATGTTGCACCTGAAATCTTGGCAGGATCCTTAGTTACCATGGTAACGTGACCATTGCTGACCTCCACACACTAGCTTCTTTATGAACTCTATCCCCATTCTGTCAACTTGCGCTGGTAACATCTACATATAAATGATACATTACCATCACGGGAGGGTCTTTTGGCTCAAGCAGAACCGCTGTGAGAATTGTGTATAAACTCAGTAATCCTCTACAGGTAAGACAAGTGTATACACAAGTACCAAAGGGACACAACTCCAGGTGACAGTTTCCAACTTTTTCAGAACTTTCCCAGCCTAATAAGCTCCTTTGAGAGTTGGTGCTGAATCCTAATAATAAGCATCTGTCTTGCACTCAAAGTCACCTTGTGAATCGGTACAAAGTTTTCTTGCCTATTTCTGCACTAGTTATCATATATATGTCAACTGAAGATATATTTCTCAACTTTGCCAAATCTGACAATGAAAATGATTTAGAACGTTACTTACCCAGGAAATCTTCTGTTTGATGTATTCTGGATAGTGCAGCCAATTGTATCCTAAGGGTCCGTAACAATAAAGATACATGTAGAGGACCATTTGTCATCATAAGTCATGCCTCCAGCCTGGAATGATGGATCATCAATTTCCAACCAATTGCTGATTCCTTTTTTTTTCTTACCAGGTGTTCAAAAGTTTTCCACACAATGGCCCCCAAAAAGAAGTTGAACCAGCAACTGTATTTTAATGCTAATCAGAATTGGACTTTTTAAGGAATAAAGAAAATTCATGATGAGTTTTATGATGAGTACTCTTTAAAGCCAGTTTCCCTTTGTATGTGAAATGCATGGATCAACCAAAAATGTACAATGTAAAATGTCCTGATAGGGCCTAACACTACATGAAGTTCAGTCCATCTTGAATCTCATATTCAACGTCCCCACACATCTCTCAGTAGAATCTGATTTCCTACCATGATTTGTTTTCTTTGGGTGAGATCGCAACCTTTCTCACAGGGCTAAAATCAATTCTAGCTTCACAGACCAGTAAAACATTGCAGGGGCGGGCCTGTCCAAATAGCAGATCTCTCTTATTTGTTCAGCACATGCCACCACGTCCATGGACTTGATACTGTAATTCACTTCTTTATGTTCATGATAGCAAAATTTCTTGGTCTGATGAGAAAAGTGGACATGTTCATGGAACTATAATATATTCACGGTGGCGACAGGTGCAGGAAAAAGAAAGTCCAGGAATTATTTAACTGTACAGAAGTGACAGTGAAAAAAGTGAACATAAAACCGTGAAAAAATCAGGAATTACAGTACTGAACCCATACACGTACAGACGGCCCAAACGCCATGTCTTCCACCAGCGACATGAGACTTTTGACGGAGGAGGATGGTGCATCAACGCAAGATCTGAAATTGAAGCAGGGAAGTGAGTTCTTTATCTTTAATATTTTCTGTTTTCCTTTTTAATATATTTCAGCAGCAGCAAGCTAACAACATGCCTGGAAGCACTACCATCTCAATGAGTGAGAGGAGTGGGTATAGTCGTTGGGCCGGGGATGTTGACAACATAGACATACAAATTGCGCCAAAGGAGCCCGGATCACAAGGTGAGAAGATGGATGTGGCTAGATTTTTGGATTGACATTTGGTGTTGCCCGAGGCAGCAGCAATTAATGGTAAATTCAGTTGTGGTAAGGGCCGTGAGGTTTTGTATTTGCTAACATTCAAATAAAGTCCAATGTTTCAAAGTACTCTAGCTAAACTAGTTTTAGCCCAAGATTATGGGTTTCGCCCTGGTGCAGTGTGTTCTGCCGACATGCTTAGTAAAATGGCAGAGGTTGTTATGAATGTAGATTGTAACACAAATCTTTCTGCTCTGCCTTTGCAATTGCCTTTCAAGACTTCTACACAATCTCCGCAAAACTTTTGACACTGCACGATTTATATGCCGGCTCAATACGGGGTTTCAGAAGTCTGGTGCCACTGTACTTACAAAGGGATGGTTAACCCCTGGTATAAGAAGGAGCTTTGACAAGTAAAAATTATTTTAATATGTAGCAAAGCCTTGGAATACAAGATCAAGGCCGCCCAAGGTCAACAACATGCCTGCCCTCCAACTGACATTAAATGATGAAGGACAACTTGTTTCTTTCATCAGTCTTACTGATGAACATTTTTATCCCTGTTCTCTGGTGGTTCTAACACTTAAACAGTCCTTCATCAATTCATGCAAAGTGGAAGGACTAGCAATTCTTCAGTTCTGATGATGAGAAATAGTATTTCACTCAGAAAGGAGAATTTCTGAACCCGGAGATAAAAAGCTCGGACTGCCATTAGCGAGAGGGTTCTGTTTTCCATTTGGAAGGTTTAGGGGACTTGTGGACCTGAAGCCATCGAAGGGCAGCTGACTTATTCATAGGGATTTTCTGCTACTTTGATACGCAGACCTTTGATACCCAGTCACAGTGGCAGCAATATGTCACAGCTAAGGCCTAGGAAAAAATGTTGTGTTTCCTGTTTCTTGACCGACCCAAGAAAACTGCTGACCCTAGCTTTTTTTTGTGTGTGGACCACTGCAAGGGACATAAGTTTTTTTCAGCTTTTCTAGCTCCATGAGCTGACACCTGAGTGATGAAACGTTGTACAATTGGTTTTCTAACATTGACATTGAAATTTTAAGTGCAATTTTTACTTCGTTAAACTGTATAAGCAAGGAGCTCCTTGGTATAAGTTGGATCACTTAAGATCGCCAAAGTCTAAAAAGAACAAAGAAAAAAAGATAATCCCTACCAGGACCAACCCTGATTTTTTCAGGACTGAAACAGGAAACACAACATTTTTTCCCTCTACACTGTAGGCCTAAGGTCTGGCACAGCCAAAATCAAACTGCTGTTAGATTGCAGACCTGTTCTGAGTTCACAGATCAGGGCAAAGGGATCCTTTCAAAAAGAGGTAGAGTTGTATAATACATCAACAAGCAAGGTTGGTTATTATGCCCAGTCACAAGGTCTATTGATGTATTCATCCTGTGGCAGCTTTTGGAATTCTTTTACTCATGTGAATTATGTCATTTGAATTTCAGACTGAGTTCAAACAACAGTAGAGTCACATAATTCAGTATTAACCCTGGTAACATATCTGTGTTGGTCAGAAATTCAGTACCATGGTCATAACACATCTGAGATAGATAGTCAGTACTATAGTGATAACACATCTGCAATTCAGTACCACATCTATGTGTGGGATAGCAATTCAGTACCATGGTAAGAACACATTAATCTTAGTGCATGGGGCAGAAAATCAGTTTATCACACTTATAACACATCTGTATAACTTGAAAAAATGTCAAGGTTTCCAAAGTGACATACATTTTGCATAGTTGTTCTAATAGCTACCATGGACTAATATTTCATGAGCAAATTTTTAAATGAATACAGATTTAGTTTTCACAAAATATATGCTTCTTGAAATACTGCTTAGAGTAGCAAAAATTCTGAAGTGAAATGCATGTATTTGTATTCAGTCAGCATCTGCACAGTTGGTATTCTGAAGATAAGAGTTCTCTTATCAACTTATATCACATTAAGAACATGCAGTCTTTAATCTCCTATCAAGTCCTTCAGATGGCATTTACCATGTCTTGTGTCAAGACATGTTCTTAATGCTTATTGGAAATAGAAAGAATCCATTCTAAGCACTTTGGCTATGCTGTAACTTTACATGTAGGTTAACAAAATATATTTGGCTCAATATACATGTATCTGACTTATATGAGTAATCAAAGCTTCTATTTCATGTTTTCTTGTACATCTCTGAGAATCTAGATTAAATTCATCTGGAATTCAGAAACAGACTCCATGGCACAAAAACCTACATCTTAGTTTGTAGTATATATGTCATGATTTTTAAATGAGTACAGAAGTAGTTGTCACAAATGAATACATTTGTATACTTGAATAATTCTTAAGGAGCAAAAATTCTGCTGAAGTCCCCAGTGAAATACATTGTATTGTGTATTCAGTCAGCATCTGCACATTTGAAATATTCTGAAAATATTATATTCTTAGGGTTCTCTTATCAACTTATATCACATCACAGTCATGCACATCTGTGAGAAAATAGATTAAATCCATCTGGAATTCAGAAAAAGACTCCATGGCACGAAAACT